TATATATATTATAACGTAATAAACACATAGGCCTAATCATGCATAGTATTGCATCGACATGTGAAAAAAAATTAAATGTTTTAGGCGCAATGATTGTTATATATTTAGCCACAATACTTATTATGCAAGTCAATACTTTGTGTATATTATGTATAGCATCGACCTCTGAAAAAAATGTTTTAGGCAATGTATGGTTTAGGCAATAATGTTCAAAGTAAAAGAAAGTATGCTTCTATGGCTGAAATTGAAATGTCTTTCTTTTAAAATATCTGACACTGTTGAACAAGGATGACTGGCTTAAAATGTAAATGTTTTTCTTTTAAACGTCTGACACTGCTGGACACCGATGAAGACGAGATATATTTTATCGGTTTGGCAGTAGGCCTACATGCATCAGGCTTTGCTCTGGTCAATGGTCATGGCTGTATTTGTAGGCTATGGTACACTATCGTGAGTGATTTATATCGGTTTGCGGGGGTATTTTATCAGGCTCCACACTCATTCATTTTTAAAATCTTCTTTTGTTTTGTTTTGTTGTTTTTTTGTTGTTTTTTTGTCGTTTTTTGTTATTGTTTTTTTTTTTAGGGGGGGGTTGTTTGTTTGTTTGTTTTTAAACAACAGGCCAAAAAAAAAAAAGCAACAAAAGTGAAAATAGATCAATTCCAAGGACTTACAACGTAGTGCACTTCTTTAATAATGCGTTGAGGGACATAAACTGATAAAAACTGGTGTTTTGTGGCTAGAATAGGCTAGTTGTGGTCGTCGGATTAGAGCAATAATTAGGGGAAACAGCAATGGGTTTTAGAATGGGGTGGCGGGAAGACCTGCTCTTTATTCCGCTTCCAAACTAAAAATCTGAGCTACAGATAGATTTTCTTCTTCTCCTCGATCACTTCACACTTGAAGTCCGGCACCTACACTGGTATATTATTATTATACTGGACCAGTCTGCTCAGTTCTTCTGTTGGTCCAAGCAGCTGCTCCTGTATTACAGTTCCCCCTCAACACACTGGCCTTTTCGTTGGGGTGTTTTTGTTTTGTTTTTGTTTGGGGGGGGG